TGCCATCTGAATGGAGGGAAAAAATTGTTTCCGGGGGGGGTGGCCGAGCCTGGAGCAGCTGCCCAGAGAGGTTGTGGAGTCTCCTGCTCTGGAGAGATCCCAAACCCATCTGGACACCATCCTGTGCCACCTGTTTGAGGTGTTTTAGCAGGAGGTTTGGACAAGATGATCCCCAGAGGTTCCTTTGAACCTCTACCATGGTGGGATTCTGTGATTCCCACACCCAACAACCCCGTTAACAACGAAGCCCCTGGAACCCAGAAACCAGCTTTAGTTTTGCACTGGCTTTGGGCAAAGAGACACATCTGGGGCAAACCCACCCCCATCAGCTTCCCCCCCACCATTCTGCAGAGCAGTAGGCATGAAAACATGGCCCAGGGTTTGGTGGGGCTGAGCCAACACACGTGGAAGCCCAGCCTGCTGCCGCTTGCACCTTGGCTGCTGTTGCCCAACGCAACACGTCTGACACAACCCAGTTCTGGGCTCGTGGAGCCAGGTTTGAAGCAACAAACATACCTTGTCACATTCCCCATCCCAGCACCGGCGTGGGGCCACCCCTTCCAGGGCAAGCTTTGTTTTTCCTTTTCCATGGGACCAGCTCCAGGACATAAACCTGAAGAAGAGGTGACGTCGCGGTGATGTCACCTCCTCGGAGAACTTGTTCCTCTACAAATCCCAATCCAGACTGGAGCTGAGCTCTCTCCCCTGATCACTGTCTGAGGGAATCCGCCCACAGGATCCACAGCAAGTGGAGGGTGGGAGAACATATAAAGCTCCCTGGGAGCAGCTCTTCTTTACTGTCCTGGCTGCACGGAGCTGCTCTCAGCATGAAGACACTTCTGGTTGGGCTCCTGCTTGGCTTGGCATACGTGGAGTTGGGTAAGGCTGCTGCATTCCAGATACTTCATGGACCCCCCTGAGAAATGCCTGGGAAGGGAGGGGAAAGGCATCAATGCAGAAAGACCTGGCAGGGGAAATAATGCTTGTATGTATTTCAGAAGGTCCGTGGAGAGGGTGAATGGGGGGAAGTGGAGAAGTCGTGACACGTGATGGAGAGCAAGGCTTGGTTTTTGGATGCATAGGTGGTCACCTGTCAACCACCCCTGCTTACATTGCACGCCAGGATGGTGGGGACCAACATGCTTCTTTATAGGACTAAGGTGTAAATGATAGCCACAGGGCAGTACAAACATGGGGGAGAACTTCACCCAACAGCCTCTACTTAAGATGCCAACTTGTCCCCTCATGGATGGGATAGGGTGTGTTCATCCTGAGCTCCTGCCAGCCCTAAAACATCCTGGCTGGAAGCTCTGAAACCCAGAGGGTAAGGCTTTAGTGTAGAGATGGGTGAGGGGATGAGGAATAACTCCAAGGACTTTGGAAAGAGCTTCATTAAACCCCCAGCTCTTGGATTGTTTCATTTCTAGAGATTAGGAGTTAGGTGGAGGCTGGAAATTCCCCTGGATCTGTGTGGGTTTGGTCTCTGATGGGTCTGGATCTTGGGCAAGCTGGTCACAGGGTCTGGTCATGGCTATGTCCTTCCTCCATCTAATTGTGACCCACTGCATCCTTGGCCTGGAACAGAGTCCTCCTTGGGTTGAGAACAACCCAGTGGGTTTTAACCTACAGCCCATGGGCCTCAGAGATTTTTAGGCTGCTTTCATGAGACTCTGAAGGATCTTGAAGGCAAAGCAGCCTGGGGAGGGGTTGAACACCTCCATCTGAAGGCATGGCTACCTGGAGACCATTCCAAGGGTTTCATGTGGAGGAAAGCTGGAAGGCACACACCTTGCAGCTCTTTAAGCATGCAAGTGGTTTGGGTCTCTTCTTCAGGCTGCATTGCTTTGTTTTTAATCCCCCCACCCTCATTCCTCCTTCCACCAGTCTCTAAAGCAAACCCAACTGCTGGCTGGAGGACACTCTGGGTCAAACCCACCACGGGGCTGAACCACGATAGGTGCAGTTGCTTCTGTACAGCTACTACAATTTTTTACATGCCAGTGTCTGCTGATTTTTTGGGTTTTTTTCCCCTTCTTTCAAGATATTTCACAGATGTTGTGTTTTCCTTTTCCTCCTTCTAAGTCTAGACCTGCCCTGGATTGAATGAGGTTGCTTAGGACCTGGTAAAGTGGTTTTCCACCCAAAAGTCTTGGAGAGCTTTATGGAGACAGAGAGGCATCACCACCCTTTTCTTTATAATTGAGCTGGAGGAAGAAATGCTTTTCCTGGGGTGATCCAGGGGGAGGCAGCCAGTCTAGGCACAGCTCCTGCAGCTGAGGGATATGTCTGTGACCCTTCATCTTCCAGAGATGTGATATCAAAGGGTAGAAGATACTGTTGGGCAGTGGATGGTGAATTATTGGCCTCAGATGGGCACACAGCACTGTCCTCAATGCAAAGTAAAGGGGCTGAGGATTTTCTTCCTTAAGCCTGCTCTTAACTGAGAGTACCCTCAGAGCCCATGGCACTGCCCTGCTCACCCATGAAAACGGTGAGGTTTGGAAACCACCTCAGCCCAAAGGCTGCAGAGGAGTTTCTCAGATGCTTTAAGGCAGCAGTACTCCATCTCTATCTCAGTCCCACACGTTCAAAAACATCCACAAGCTTCTGAGGTTGACAGCGTTGTGTTTTCTTGGTGGGCTAAAACGTAAAACAACCTCTCAGGGGTCAGTTGGGGAGGATCTACCAAGGTCTTCCACTCGGATAAACACCACTGGCTCCACTAGACCTGTTTACAAAGGATATGGCCAAAAGAACATCACCACTGATCACCTTAAAAGCTCCTTCCTACCTCAGCCACGGGGACAAAATTTTTGAGTCACGTAGACTCAGAGCTGAATTTTCTGAAGGAGGTGATAAGAGAAGGAGATGCCCTGAAAATTCCTTCTGGAGTCAGGTGTTCAAACAACCTCCTTCAAAAAAAAAAATGTTTACCCTTATCACAAAGTCCCAGGAATTTGTCTCCAACGCTGCAGAACAGCAGGAAGAAAACTTTGGCTCTCTGCAATTTTGCCAATAGATGGCAGTGGCCACATTTGGGTGGCTCTTTGACTGGTAGGATAGAAACATTTCAAACCAGCCTGGTTTGTGTCATCGAGCCACACCAGCACGACTCCAAAAATCTATGCACACACTCAGTATCTGCTGATTGTAGGTGGACAAGTCTCATACCAAGACCTTTGAGCAGCTGCTGGGATCGGTGCTTGCACATGGAAAGGTGCCTATTATCAACGGGCAGCCAGCAAGAGCTTTCTAGCAGCATTTCTTTCCAAAAGCAGCACTAGCCCTGGATGAAAGTGGTTTTTTTCAGGCCACATTCAGCCCTTTGGATCTCTGATACAGCTCTGAAATTTAAATTCTGCTCTTAGTCACCAAGTTCTGCAGAAATCCCTCTGAACGAGCACGGAGGAGCTGTCACCGTGGGTGGAGGGACGGGGGGACTGCCAGGGCCTAGGGTGGTGATTATCCTCAAATTCCTCCACACCATCCTTGTCCTTTGGCCCTGGGTCTGATCCTTCTTTCCCCTGACATACCCAAGCTTTGCTGTTGTCTCCAGATGTTCTTCCTTTCCAAGACCACTTCTGGGTGAAGGAGTGGGATGGAGAACTGATGGTCACATAGCTCCCAACAGAGAGCAGAGAAGCTGCAGACTTGCTGTCTCAAGATGCATTCTGTTCCCTTCTGCAGCCCAGGCCTTACGATGCTACACGTGCAAGGAGCCAACAGACATTGCCAAGTGCAGGACAATCACCCCCTGTCCCATGGGAGCCACCGTGTGCACGACAACGCTGCACTCCGTAGACTCAGGTAAGATTCAGGGCTTGCTCTGGGTGCCTGCAGGGAGACATCATGGAATCCTAGAATGGGTTGGGTTGGAAGGGACCTTAAAGATCATCTAGTTCCACCTCCCCCTGCCACGGGCAGGGAACCCTCCAACTAGACCAGGTTGCTCAAAGCTTCATACAACCTGGCCTTGAACACTCCCAGGGATGGGGCAACCACAACTTCACTGGGTAACATGCTCCAGTGTCTCTCAACCTTCACAGTGAAGAATTTCTTCATAATATCTAATCTAAATCTCCCCTCTTTCAGTTTAGAGCCACCACCCTTTGTTCTACAACTACATGCCTTTGTAAAAAGCCCCTCTCCAGCTTTCCTGTAGGCCCCTTTTAAGTACTGGAAGGACACCAGAAGGTCTCCCTGCAGCCTTTTCTTCTCCTGGCTGAGCAACCCCAACTCTCTCAACCAGTCCTCATAGCAGAGAGGTTCCAGCCCTCTGATCATTTTGGTGGCTTCCTCTGGCCCCACTCCAACAGGTCCAGGTCCTTCTTGTGCTGAGGGGCCCAGAGCTGGACACAGTGCTCCAGCTGGGATGTCAGCAGAGTAGAGGGGCAGAACCACTTTCTTTGAGCTTCTGGCCCCAAAACTGTGTGCCAACCCTTCACTTTTAATTCTCCTCCACTACACAAAGTCAAAGTTTCTCACTGCCTGCACCATCCTTCACCATTTACCCTGCCAGAGTGGTGAGGTCTTGGCCCAGGCTGCCCAGGGAGGTGCTGGAGTCCCCATCCCTGGAGGGGTTCAAAAAATGTGTAGATGTGGCACTTGAGGACATGGTTTAATGGTCATGGTGGTGTTGGGTGATGGTTGGACTTGATGATCTCAGAGATCTGTTCCAACCTGAATGGTTCTCTGGTTCTATGGCTCCTGTTTCTCTCTCACCCTTCTCCCCACCTGCCTCTTTCAGGTTACCCCTTTTTCGGCAACATCACGGTGACCAGAAGCTGTGAGAATGAATGTCTCCCTTCTAGTGGGATTGGGGCATCTAAACCCAAGTCGTGCTGCTACACTGACCTCTGCACCGACGACAGCAGGAGCAGCAACGGGGTGAGGAGCAGCTCTTCAGCCCTGGGTCTGGTGGCCATGGTGGTTGGGACACTCCTCCAGCGTGCTCTGTAGCCTCACAGGTCTCCACGCTCCAGCCAAAACACACCCACTCCTCTTGCTGCCAAGCTGCTTCAGGAACTCTTAGATGCCTTGGGAACAACCTTCTTCACGGATGTGTGGCTCCACCCATCTTCACCGTTGTGGATTCAAGCCAAGAGTTTGGGCACCTGGACCTGAACCCTTCAAATTTCCAGTTTCCAGCTGCTGAGATGTTGCTCACCTTCACCTGCTTCTGGCCACCAGGACCCACATCTCTCCCCACAACTTTACTGGGTGGGGAGCAGCAGTGGATGAAGTGCTGCAGGACCTGAGCAGAGCCATCGAGGCTGGTGCTCTGGTGTCATCAGCAGGGGTTGAACACACTCTGGAGATGGACAACACATCTTTCACTCCCCAAGCTCCCCCACAACCTCTTCCTGTGTGCCTCTATTAAATCCCTGCTCACAGTCCCCTTAAAAAAGATCCTTCAACTCTCCACCAGGAGCTGGGCTTATGTTCTCTCCACTTTTGGTGCCATCTCCTGAGGCAGAGCAGCAGATGGTTGTTGGTCCTCACCACCTGCCCAGCAGAGCATGGCTTGCAGTTGCAAAGAGCTGGCCCTTAATTCTGTCAGGAATAAGCTATGGGGTGAGCTCAGAAGGGCTCAGCCTTCATGTGTTGAGAGGGGCTGTATTTCTGGAAAGCTCAAAACAGCACCCTGGACTGACAGGCCAGGTCAGGTCAGACCTCCAAAAGCAAACTGGGGAGTCTAGGCAGTCAAAACCTTCATCAGCCCTTTGCCCTGGGCTTGGGTGGCAATCAAAGCTCCTGGATTTCCCTTCCCAGATGTTTTACAGACCTTTTCAAACAACTTCTGCTACTCTGCTCACCCCTTCACAGCAGGGACTGCAGGGGGAGGAAAGAGATGATGACCCCAGACCCTCCACTCTGGGAAAAGCCACTGGCTCCACTCAGAGGTGGCAAAGTCTATTTTTTTTCCCTCATTTTTCTTTTTTCTCCATTTTTTTTCTCATTTTTCACTCTAAGACACCAGCCAGGAAACCAAATTAATGAGCAGGGGGCCTCTTCTTCTTCATTTGCACAAAGGTAATTGTTCCTCGAGGTCTTTGACAAGGCATTGCAGGATTCCTTGGCAGAGGGCCCTGGGCAAGCCTGGGGCTCAGGAGAATGAGCAGCCCCTTTGTTCCAGGGGTGAAATGCTCCATGAGTCACTAAACCAGCGACAGCTGCCCTGAAACACCCTTTCAGAGGAAAAAACATCACTGAGAGGGTAGTGATGGGGAGATATTCAGATGCTGATGTTCCACCCACCCTTGCAGACACAGAGCACAAGCTTCTGCTTCCTCCTCCTCCTCTGTTCTCTTCCCCTGCTTCAAAAACAGGCTGATGGGTCAAGCCAGAAGCAAAACTCCACCACTGACATCCTGACATCAGATCCTCTGTTCTAGTTTGGGTTTGAGTTCTGGAGTAAATCCCTGTCCCCTGTGGCCTTCCCATGCTGGTCACAGAGTCCTGTCCCAACCTGAGCTGAATTTTCCTCCATCTACTGCACGTGCAGGTGGGGCAGAATCTGGATCTGGAGGGACTGGGAGGGTGAAGGGTCCCTTCTGGGTGAGAATCTAGCAAATAAAGTTGGATCCTCTTGTTTTCAGCCTGCAGCATCTTTCTTCTGGGCTCCACCTTCCCCCAGGGAGGGAGCACAAAGCAGCTCTCTGGCTGCTTCTGCAGCTCCAAAACTGCCCTGGGGCAGAGAAAAGCAAGGGAGTGGAAAAAAACACTCCTTGGAAGAGCTAAATTTAAGGCTGGAAGAGGAAAGGGAGAAGGGTGGCAGCAGGTAAAGGACTCCCCAGTGGCTACAGGAGGCTCCTTGGGGGCAGCTGGGGGTTTTCTTAGTGCAGCTTCTCTTGCAGCAGGCACAGAGAACGTTGCTGAGCTCAGGTCAATAATTCAGGGGTTGTTATTCTATGTAAAGATACTGCCAGTGGCAACCACTGATCTCCTTGTGCCACTGGTGCTGCCCGTGAGCATCCTGTATCCCACCACGCTTCAGGTCCCCCCTCCCCTGGGACTTGTGGCTCCAGCAACAGAGCACTGAGCTCCTCCTGTAGCCAAAAAGAGACTCAAAGGGCAGGATTGAGCTTCAAAGCACTTGGAATATGCTCCAAGATTAGACCAGGTGAAAAAGCTCTTCACAGAGAGAGCATCAATGGTACAAAATGTCCTTTTGCATCAATATCCATCTGCTCACACAGCCACGGGCTGAGCAGTTGTCAACGGGGTCCTTCCAAAGTTGGATTTTTCTGCTGCTTGGGTGGGTGCTTTTATTTCTTCTTCAGCTTTTTGGGCCCTAGGATTGAAGCCCAATGAAGGCAGGACGCTGCCAGGGGGATCAAAGGAGGTGGCAGAGCTCTGTGGCAGCGGGTCGAGTGGACACAGGGAGGGAGAGGCTTAAATATAGGTCGAATAAAATAGAACAGGGAAAGATGTGTCTCCAAAGGGCCCTAAAAAGCCTCGCAGCCTCTCGGCCCTGCAAGAGGAGGTTTCACAACAGGCAGCATCCAGTGCTGCTGCTGCTGGGGGGAAGGGTTTTACCTGCCCCCACGGGGAGCTCCTTCTTCCCAGCAGTCGTTTTGGGCACGTCCAGAGAGTTTATTTCCAGGTTTGAGAGCTCTCCTCGGCGTCTTGTGCTTCATCTGGCCAAGAAGTTGCCTCTCCCATCACCTTCCAGCCCTCGTGCAAGTGTGGGGCAGCCCTCCAGATGTGCAGCACCCCCTTCCAGCTGCAAATCTGCAAGTGCATTCATCCACCTAGAAATTACAAAGCAAAGCCCAGCAGAGACTCAACTTTTGGGAGGGGCTTGCAGACCCACGTTGGTCTCGTGGCTCCGTGGTCTGATGGTCACATGGCTTCAACGTGGGGCTGAATATCCACATGGAGGATATTTAGGGGTATAACCTCTTGAGTTCCACCTCCAGCCAACCATGTGGCCTTTCCTCACAGGCTCCATGATTCTTGAAGGTAGAGTGGTTGTTTTCTAAGCATAGTTCTTCCCCTGGAGACACAGGATACAACCAGTCTTGGGTTAAGTCAAGTCCCATGTTCCATCTTCTTGCTGCCACTTGGGTAAAATTCCCCCAAAGGCATCACTGGGGAGGAGCAAAGCCAGTTCCTCCCCTGGAGACACAGGGCACAACCAGCCTTGGGTTAGGCCAAGTCCCAGGTTCCATCTTCTTGCTTCCACTTGGGTAAAATTCCCACAAAGGCATCACTGGGGAGGAGCAAAGCTCCACAAACAGCATGATCCATGCTTGGAGGACCAGGGTTTCCAGCAGGGATCTCATTTCCAGCTCCTTCCCACAGCAGGACACTGGTCCCATCATGTGTAGCCAGGGGTGGAGCTCCAGTTGAAGGCTGGGCTCAAGCTGCCAGGTGAGAGAAACAGCAGGAGCTGTTTTGCTGCTTGATTTCTTTTAATTTTATATATTTTGTCTTCTTTGGTAGGGAAAATGGGGGGAAAAAAAACCTTACAGCCCTCTTGGAAGGTGCATTAATCCAAGCAGGCATGAAAGAAAGACAAGACAAGGGAAGAAATTGTTGCAGAACCCCAAGAGAAGGAAAAAAGAAGGGGATATTTTTGCAGCCCAGACATTTAATGTAAAACAGAGCTCCCATGTAATAAAAGCCAGAAAGAACTTGTAGTTCTTACTAAAAATACCTGCCTGGAATATAAATATACATTAGGATGTAGCTGCAAGGCTCGTGGAGATCTCTGCCACAGCCTTATATTTACAGATAAGGGATTTAAATGTTTAATACTGCACCTCCAAAAGGAAGTCACTTCATCTGAAGGAGTTATTAATTATAGAAATGGGCTTGGCAGGCCTGATATCATTTTCTGTATCACTCCCAAATTATTTCTCATCTCAAACCTATCATGGGCACCGTTGGGTTGGGGTTGGGTGTTATTTTTCCTTCTTAAAATAGATCTATTTTTCCATATTAGGCTGTGGATGACTTGGTACCACTGCCTCTGACACACCAGCACATCCTCTCTGGGATGTCTTCATTGCTCTGCTGTGGGACTCTCACCTCCCTCATTCCAGGGGAAAAGGAATCCAAAACCTCTTCCTATTCAGCCCCAGGTCTGAGAATAAGACAAATCCGAAAAAATTGAGGTGAAAGGAAATTTCAGGGTGCCTGAAGCAGATCTGTTGAGGGGGCAGGGAGGCAAGCACAGCATCATAGGTGGTATCTGAATTTAGCAAAGACATTTAGGGGCACAAATTCAAGAGGGATGCTCAGAATATTGTCAAAGGATGGGGCAGATGGTCTGTGTGTGCATTGACTGCCTTCCCAGCATGCCTCCAGCCTCATTTCCAGGGGCTCCAGTCTGCCACAAGGTTTTAAAGGACACAAAGTGTGTCAATTAATTGCTCTGTGCCCCATCTGAGGCTGGTCTGGATCCCAATCCCCTTTCCCCAGTCAGTCCCTATTAAATAGATGGAAATTCATTAAATTGTAGAAGGGTTTGAGTTGAAAGGGACCTTCAAAGCTCATAGAATCATAAAGGTTGGGAAAGAACTCTAAGATCAAGTGCAGCCATCAACCCAACAATACCAGGACCACTAAACCACATCCCCAAGTGCCACGTCCACATGTTTTGTGGATCCCTCCAGGGATGGTGACTCCAACACCTCCCTGGGCAGCCTATTCCAATGCTTCACCACTCCTTCAGTAAGAAAATTCCTCCTAATACCCAACCTAAACCTCCCCTGGTGCAACTTAAGCCCATTTCTTCTCACCCTATCCCTAGTTCCTTGGGAGGAGAGACCAACACCACCTCACCACAACCTCCTCCCAGGTCGTTGTAGGGTGCAATAAGGTCTCCCCTCAGCCTCTTCTTCTCCAGGAATGGTTTGGGTTGGAAGAGACCTTAAAGACCATCTAGTTCAAACCTTCTGCCATGGACAGGGACACCTTCTGCTAAACCAGCTTGCTCAAAGCTCCATCCA